AAAAAAAAAAAAAAAAAAAAAAAAAAAAAAAAAAAAAAAAAAAAAAAAAAAAAAACACCCCGAAACGTTTCGACTCAAAACTGAGTCATTTTCAATTGGAAAATCAATTAAAAATAAAAAATATCGATGAAGCAACCTCAGACCCAGGTGTTAGTGGCTGAGATCCAAGGAAGCCTTTAGTTTTTCTCGAAAAGGTAAAGTCGGACCTCCAAAAAAACCTTCGGCCACCAGTAAGTAGATCTTAGGTTTTTTCATCGATATTTTTTATTTTTTAATTTATTTTCCGACTACAAGCGACTCATTTTTGAGCCGAAACGACCCGGGTTTTATATTTTGTATTTTAGCCTTGTTTCCCGTTTTTCCCCTTGTTTTCCTCTTGTTACCATAGTCTCGGGCTGCCTCGTAAAGATGTGTATCCATATAGGAAAATGAAGGAGTTGACCAGTGGGCTGAAATTTTTACAGAGTTATTTTGATGCCAAAAGGCAACTTTTCAGCCCGAGCCAACACGCGAAAAAACAGTTTTAGAAATAACTGCACAGTTTAGGTAATTGGGTATTTAGACCTACTGCAACTGAATTGCTTAGTGGTGACGCGAGGAAACATGTGAAGTAACTTCCTTCGTGTTATATATAGAGGTTCGAAATAGAAGAAATTTTAGAACATGAGTTCTGACTCGACTGCGTGCGTATATTGGTGCGTTTGTATCACCATTAAATGATGCAAGTAAAACTATAATTGAAAGAAGTATAATAGCTCAAGAAACAGCGCGAATACGTTTCAGCGCATTCTTAATGAACATGAAACATGCAGCCAGGGTAAATTATCGCCCATTTCGGCAGAATAGGGTACCCCAAGGGCGCTCGAATGATGCGCAATTAGAATAACGGAAGAGCGTACTTCGCGTTTCTTTCACGTTGATTAAAATAAACGCACGAGCTGCTATCTAAACCGAATCTAACTACCAACATAGATGCTTGTCCCCCATCTACTTCCCAATCTTCTATCTTCGTTTGGGTGCGAAATGAAACAGGAGGCATACGATTCGAGAACTGATCGTACTTGAATCGGACCATGATAAAAGAGGTTAAGTCCAAAAACTCATGAGCCCTGACTTTGGTTACGCAGAACATTAGGGTCCGTGAGTTTTTGGACTTACGCAATTCTAGTAAGCATCGATTCACTTTGAACGCGGATAAGGATGTTTGCAGCATTTCGAAAATTGAAATCAGGGTGTCTACTAAAACGGGTGGCCAAAAATCAGTGCTTTCACAGTGCTTTTTCAGTACATTCCTGAGACATTCGGTACCTCCTCAACGGAAAAATACAGTACTTTTTCAGTACCTCCATTTGACGAAATTTGAAAAATTTCAAAAATTTGAATTTCTCTCTTAAATTGCGAAAAAAATGAAAAATTCCGGAATTTTTGACAGCATTTCCGCACTTTTTCAGTAATTATGGACCGCCCTTAAAAAATCAGTGCTATTTCTGGACTTCCCGGACTTGTAGACACCCTGAAAATGTACTTTAAAACTAGAATAAATGGATCATGTTGCCCTAGTCACACAATCGAGAATCGATTATTACATATTACAGATCAGCAAAGAATTATAAGATCTATCCAACCACCAAGGTTTCCACGTCCAAAATCAACGGAGATATAATGGCATACGACGTCATCCACTGCAGTGGTGCGTACAAAACCAAGAAAAAGAGTCGGGAGCAGCACAAAGTAAAGAACCACCAGAAGATTCGGGATCAATCAATCCACAGGAAGGTGACAATGAGTTCTGTCTACCTTGGTTTCATCCTTGTTTTGAAGTCAAGCGATCACTGCAAATATGTGTGTCGCTGATTTATGAAACTATGGCAGAGGAAACCATGTCCGTTGTATTATCGCCAGTGTTTGAACCTCACAGGCGCCAAATGCGTTTAAGAAATGAAGGCTCTGCGCCAATGTGACCCCTACGCACCCCCC